ACTTTGACACTTTCTAATTATCTAATATCTTCCTTTCTCCAATCCTGAAATTAGCTGAGGAGATGAGTACTTTCTTCTTTAAATAAAAATGTCCTGATTCATGTAAAATTAGTAAATTAAGTAAATTGCTTAAAAATATGCACCAAGGTAAAGACAGGGTAGGGATGAGGGTATTGGTATTTGACAAATTATTTTCACCTAGTAGATGTCTTCACCTTTTAATACTCTTCTATAATACTACTGAGTCATTGGAAATGGGAGTCTCAAATATCAATGGTGTCTTCTTGGGAGAGAATAAATACTTTGGCCTCATATCTTTCTTGTTTGGTTATGCAATGGACATGGGAGTGCATGGGAATGAAATCTGAATAGAAGCAACATGCATATTTAAGCAGATACTCTGCTTTTTGTTGTTTTTTGATTTTGCTATGCTGGGTATTGAACCCAGGGCCTCATATATGCTGGGCAAGTGCTCTACCACTGAATTCCACCCTTGACCCTTATTCAAATATTTTGTTATTTTGCCATCTCAAGTTACTTGTTTCCTCCAGCATATGAATGGCAGTATTCCCAATGGAAACTTCTCTCTCAGCTTGTGTTCTGTCATAAAAATAACATTATACAGGCTAAATCCAATATGGGATGGCCATGTAGACTGAGTGAAGTAATCCCTGGTTGTTAACTATTTGGGTTGTAAGCCATTATGTTGGAGAGCACTTTAGCATCACATAATTAGACTACCTGACTCATAAAATCTTCAAAGAAGCTAACTATCCCATCCTGCCTATGGAAGAGAGAAAAAGTTGTATTATTGCTTAAAAATCACTATACTAAAAATGGATATTTGATGCATTCCATTTGGACTTTATGCAGACATTTAATTTATGATGTGCTCTAATATATGAATACAAATAGATTAAATTTCTGTGTGCAATAAGAACTAAAATTTATTGAGCATCTATTATGTTTTTAAGCACTTCAGACCTCATTATCTCTAACTCTCACATCAACTTTCAGATGAAGTGGGATGGATTATAAGGATGTTGACAAATTCCTTTCTGTACCATGCCTCCGCAATGTAACACAGCAGGTTTTCTATTACCTTTTTTTTTTTTAAAAAAAAAAAAAACAAGTACTTTGCAATTTTTTAAAAAGGTTTTCCTCTTTTAAAAATGTAAAAGAAAAAATGTTTTCCCATTGAAGGGAATATAATTATTCAAGATGACTTAGTTAAGAGGGGTGGACAGAACCTAGGTATTCTCTACATCAGTATTAGTGATGATTTCAGCAGAAAAATTTTCTAAATCAGTATTTGGGTTTCTGCTATTTTCTACTCATCTGTAATAATATTTATCTAAAGTTTCTAGAATATAAAGGTCTAGAATATAAAGTCCCCACTATTTTACACACACACACACACACACAAAAATTCAACATTGAACCATTTTCATGATTGGTATCATCTGGGCTTACCTTACAGAATCATTTTATGATAAGCAGATAAGCAGGGTTCAACATCTTAAGGCAGAGTACACAAGTTGGTTTTCATAAGAGTTTCTTTCTTAAGTTTTAAAAAATAACTCTTATTTAAAAAAAAAAAGTTAAGATGTGTACTATCAGAAACCGAAAATCACAAGAAGCAAAGAACAATATTTTTAGATATGTGGATCTACAATAGGTCAAAGGTATGTGCAGCTTTTAGGATGGAAACCAGCTACACCAAGCCAGAGAACAAGTAGGAAGGTAAAATCTAGTGGAGTCTCTCCATGGTTCAGAAGGCCATCAGAGTCTATTTTTTTAAGGTCATTTATCTGTGAATTTGGACACTGAGGATGTGGTTCCAGTTGCTGCTGGCCTGGCCATCCAGAGATGGGAGTGGTGCCCTTCAGTTCAGTTTT